TCCAAACAAGATCCAGGCCACCCAGTTTTGTTTTTCCTTCCCACGAAAGCCGAAATATAATGCTTGTTAGTGAAAGCTGTTAAAGAAATTGAAAAGGTTAGGTGATTCTAACTACTGTTAAGGGTTCTCCCCCTAAACAAAACCAAAAATTTATTGTTGGCAATGAACCCGGCAAATTAAGTTAAGTAAGAATCCAGTAATGCATCCAAGAACTAACCATATCGCACTGGGATATCACAAAATCAGACATGCAGTGGACAAGGATATTGTTGATTTGGAAATATGTTAATACAAAAGACCAACAGGCTGATATCCTAACTAAAATTTTAGCTAAATCCCAATTTGAAACCTTAAGAGATGAATTAGTCTCAAATTTAACTACTTAATAAATTAACATACAGAATTAATTTATTATGGAAAGCTTGCATCTAAAGCTTCCGGGGGGCTGTTGGATTCTGGGAATCAGTAGATGACAATCTTAAGTTATCCAGATCTAACCCTATGTCTGAAAGATATACTTTGCTGACAGGAACACATTCAGGGTAACTGTTAGTTTTCAAAAGGTATATAAGCAGACCAGATTTCAAGTTTCTAGAAAATATTTTCTCTTTTCTAATGTTCACTTTATGAACTAAATTATATTTTATATTTTGTATACTATATTTAGAATTTATAAAAAACCAAGAGCTTGAATAAACAACTAACGTATAATTGTACTTATACCTTAGATCTCAGTTAATATATCCACTATCACTCCAGTACAACCATGTCCCACCCTGATCAACAGTCCAATAACACTCACCTATTCCAATCTCAAGAAATAGGTGCCGTCCTGGTTTCGAACCTGCGCAAACACGTTGGATAGTAATGGAACTACAGGGACTGTAGTTCCAGCTTCATCTAACACAGTACTGTCAGAAAAAAAAAATAAAGACGCTAGTGACACGATGGTGGAAAATGCTACTCAAACTGTACCTCCATTGCAACCCTATATTGAAAGATTGTTTGGCATCAATCACGCTTGCACCTACAGAACTGCTATTATAATCCCAACCGACACCGACACCAACGCTGCTGACAACGAGACATCACCTCTGGAGACTCACGACAATAACAAGGAAAAAATCATTGAATCTTTTATTTCTTACTCTTCAAGTGAATTCGGTTACAAAATTCAATACGACTGGTTTGAAGATAACTCTGCTAATGCTAAGGAAACCCCAAGATCACTATTCACCGATGTTGTGCATGAACAAAAACTATTGAATGCATTAGAAGAATTGAAATTATGCTCAGAAGAAATGGAAAATGAGGGTAATGATTCAGAACGTGGAGACAACTTTGGTTGGTCCTTGATACCTACCTGCTGTTCACACTTCCAATATACAAAAAACAATGAGATCTACTAAACTTCAAAGCATATTCACTCAAGGGCAACAACAACTACATTCATCTATTACTTCTCTTTTCTCCCTGACAAGTAACTTAGCCAAATCTCGTTAACTATATTCAATTACACTTTCTACTCACTACAAAGTATAGCTCGCGAATGATACTCCTATAACTAAAACTATATCCCACATTCTTTGTCAACATATCAGTACCAACTAACGATATGATTTTCCCACACAAAATATCAAAAGTTACCTCTACCTGCTTTAAGACTACAAAATAAAAGTGATTTGTTGGTTGGTTTGTTCACTAAAAAATCTCCTACAAAATACATATGTACTTGCCTGAACTAATAAGCTACAACATAGAATGTTTCCCAACAAACTAAACTAAACCAAAAAACCAAACCAAGGTCAATACAATAATACCCACTCCATTTCATGGCAGGTCATTCATAGAGATATATACCTTCATCTTCAAACTGGCAAGAAACACCAACAGAACCAAAAAGATCAAGACCCAAAAATTACAAAAATATAAAATTTAAGAAAATTATTAAATAGCAAAAATAAAAACAAAAGCAAGAACAAGAACCAGAACAAGAACATGAATTTTTGAACTGGAAAAGCACACAAAAATAGTAAAAAGCCTAAAAAGAAAGAAATGTGTTTAAAACGATTTTTATTCACGATACGTAGCTAAATTAACACATTCCAATCAAACGACTTTAAAAGGTTCTTTTTTACCTATTTTGCTATTTTTACGTCCAAACCAACAAGTAGGAGAAAACTGTCTGCGACAAATAAGAACCCACACAACGTAACGTTAAAAGAAAAAAATAGCGTCGTCGACAAGCAACTTTTCGAGGGAGTTAGATTAACACATTGCCGGAGAAGAATACAAGAAGAAAGCTGGACTTGAGAATAAAATAGAGTAAATTTATTAGAGGATTATAATAAAAAAAAAAATAAAAGTAAGCTGCATTAAAATTTTTTAATAATAATTTTATTTTTTTTAAAAGAAAAAAAAAATTGTTTGTTTGTTTGTTTGTTTGTCTGTTTGTTAAATAAGAAAGACCAAGAAACTAACTACAACGACAATACTCGCCAGGAAACTACTTTCTTCGGGTCAGCTTTCAAATTATACTACTTTATTGTTTTTTTTTTAGCTAATTCCCTCCATTATTCAATTCAAGTCTGATTTTCAGGGAAAATTTCATTAAAAAAAAAACATAGAAGGCAAAAAAATAAATAATACTTCGAACGTTTTTGAACACTTAACACATTAAAAATATACTAAATTAACAATAAAGTGAAAGTTAAGAGATATAGATACAATCAGAGACTCAACAATATAAGATATTTTGCATTGCAAATTTTGTTTATTTGCACTATTTCAGTTTTAACGGCAAAGGTAAAAGCATTTTAGTTGTTTACTCATTAGATTAAATATATATAATAATTTTTTATTTTTGTTTGTCCCAAGGATAGAAAAAGAGTTATAAGAAAAACATACCTCAAGGGTGGAAGTAAAGTACTTATATCGTTTACCATTCCATTCCATTCATCTTCATTGTTTGAAAAAAGTATTTGCATATCAATTAGAAATTGTACTTTTTATCAACAACATTTTTTTTCTCATTGTTTATTTAAGTTTGGAGAATTAAAAAAAAAAATATAATAATAATATTTGCATTTTCTGTAGGTCATAACATTTAAATTTTAATAATTCTTTAAGTCATAGTTCACTAGTATTCATGATGGCTTCAGCAGGTAACATAGCTAGTCTGAGTATAGACCCAGTTAATAACGATCTCCATATGAATGATTCGTCGAATATCATTTCAGATGATAAAAATTCACCCTTACCTTTATCATCAATGCTTCACAGCTTGTCTATGGGTAGTGAAGGTCATTCTGTTTTACCAAATGATCTAGCTAATTCCTCACCAGGACCTTACTTGCTAAAGTTGAAAAATTTACCAAATGAAATTACGTCAAGAGAAGCTCATGCCATCTTCGCTTTGGTAAATGGCTTCATCAATGTTGAATTACATGATGAACCTGAAAATAATGGTAATAATGTAAAAATAATAATTGCAAAGTTTGGTTCTCTTTCGTTGATCTCTCAATGTGCTGCTATCCTGGATTCTAAAAGCGATATTTTTGGTCCAGAACTACCAATTAAACTATCTGTTGAAATTATTGATGAATCCAATAATCAGCATATTCCAGTTCCATCAATGGTTTCGGATCAGAGTTTCCAATTACCAACAGGCTCCATCCCATCATTAGTTGCTACTCCTCCAATATCGAGAAAGATATCAGCAAGTATTCCTCAAAAATCAAGATTTTCTTTCCATGATGCATTTGGTACTGAAAGCAATCCTCATCAACAAAATATCGCTTCTCAAAATCAATCATCTCATGATCTAAGTATGGGTTCTGGATTACCATCGGTAGCACCAAATGATGTCGGAAAGTCGTTCTTATTAATGGGAAATGATGAAATCAATAACAGTATTTGGGGTTCCAATGGGATTCCATCGTTGATGAACGGGTTCTCTAGTATCCCTCAATCATCTGCAACAAATTTGGACTGGGCAGCTCACTCAGAAAGAAAACAAAGTGCTCCACTATACATGCCCCATGCTGTTAACTCTGGTATGGTACCATCTCAATCGATGGATTCGATTCCTCAAATGCAATCTGTCAATAGATCAGTTCCAACCAGTTCTTCTGCAGTGATAACGCCAAACCAAATTGCATCTTATGGGCTTATACCACAAGTCCAGGGTAGCAATCGATCACTATCAAATAATATGCAATCAAGTAATGATATTCCAATAGCTCCTGTTCAAAGTCGTTCAAGTTTCTCTCAAGTTCAATCAGCTCCTCAACCTCAATTTCCTCCAGAGGTTTCAAACAATATTATTCCTCCAACAACACCACAAAAGAATGTGCCTTTGAGATCAACACCTACTAAGGGGCTAAACAGCATGGCTAAAGTACCGTCTTCATCTTCTTCTTCAAGCAATGTCGTAGGTTCCTCTGGGATTTCACAAGCAGACTTATCCTTGTTAGCTAGAGTTCCTCCTCCTGCAAATCCAGCTGATCAGAATCCACCATGTAATACTTTATATGTTGGCAACTTGCCTCCAGATGCCACTGAACAAGAATTAAGACAGTTGTTTTCAAGTCAACAAGGTTTCAGAAGGTTGTCATTTAGAAACAAGAATAGTAATGGTAATGGGCACGGACCAATGTGTTTTGTTGAGTTTGAAGACGCAAGTTTTGCTACAGTTGCCTTGGCTGAGCTATATGGTAGCCAATTACCAAGAAGCACAGTAAGTAATAAAGGTGGTATCAGATTGAGTTTTTCTAAGAATCCATTAGGTGTTAGAGGTCCAAACAGTAGAAGAGGAGGTAGTAACAGCAACGCTGGTGGTTCAGGAAACGGTTCATCCAGCAACCCATCTAACAACCCTAATTCAAATAACAATAGTAATAACAACAACAGTAACAGCTACAGTTATTCTATTGGATACTCTAAAAATTGATATGCTAATTGCGTTATTTTCCAAATATTAGTATTTCTCCATTTGTTGTCGTTTTTCTCGATTGTTTTTTTAGTCTGTTTTAAAACTACCAAGGAATTATACCACAAAAGTCAAGACACCAAGTTAGTTTGTCCCTTTATATCAGGGTCATATGTGCCGTAATGGCCAATGTAACCATCGATCGTCATATCTTTTTACTGTATTTTATGTTTATTTTTACTCTCTCAGCCCTTCCCAAAATCCTAACCTATTTGTCATCATCGTCATTATAATAATTTATTAATCCTAATATTAATCATTCCTACCCAGCATTTATTTTATTTTCTGTACTTAATTATTTTACTTTCTGTTTCTGTTTGTTATCGACATCAACATCACTTAGCTCATAATATTTCATTTTTGTTTTCTCAAGGAAACAAAAATAAAAATATACCAAGCTCACGAACACACACACATACACACCCTCCCCCGTTCCTCCCATCCAGTTAACAACAGCATCTTGTTGTTAAACTGTTCACTCTACTGGCTTCGTTATATATATGTGTGTCTATGTATCATACATCGTTTATATATCTGACTCTGCAATAAACATCTCATTATTTTTATTGTTTAAAATTCACAATTACCCACCATAAACCAACCCATGAACTCCATTCCAACTATCAATTTGCATCCATACTCAGCCGTTCACATTGGATCTGCTACTGATCACTTACCTGGAATGACCTTTGCTTTGAGATAATTGGCTATGATCACTATTAAATAATTTTTGTCGATATCCACACCTTTACACCGCAGCATTAATTCATATTTTTCCAGTATAGACAGCTATTTTTTTCCGTCGAATTTTAAGCTGAGAGAAGGAATCAATGATCATTAAAAATTCGAAACCATTAACAATTAAAAATGATATTAATTTCATGAATAGTCTTTGTAGTGCTAGAGATATGGTAATTCGGTTGGTCTGAGATTGGTATTTTAGATTTGTCATTGTTCTTAAGCTATTTTAAGATTTTATCTAGTTTTTGGAAGGTTCTAATAGAGGTAAGAACTGAAAATTTTGACTTTGATTTCGATTTCGATTGCTTCGAAGTTTCCTTTCTGTTCAGTGGTCTGATTTATTGGTATACTGTTTTTGCAATTGGATTTAGTGCAAGGCTGATTGGTTACTTGGAGAATTAGTTTTTTTTTTGGCAAAATACAACATCGTGTAACTTGTTTATCAATTTTTGTTACTGTATAAATTGTGTCTGTTATGGATGATATAGATTTCACTTCTTTAACTGAACAGATCACGTCCACCACGGGTATAGTGCATCATCAAACGAAGCTAGATGTATTTATAATAAGATCATACAAGTTGGTATCACCTTCTTCAGTTATTCATAGTAATACGCTGCAGAGCGTGATTAGTTCGCCTCAGACTTCAAATACTACCCCAGTATCTACTTCAACATCTACTAGTTTAGCTAGTGGTACTGCTTCAAATTCATTACAACCAAGTGAAATGAACCAGAGCAACAGTGGCAACACTCCTATGACAAATCCGCATATACAAAATGGTCAAATATTCGGTAAGATTTCTAAGCTTTATAACGCTATCATGTCGATTGGATCAATAGATGATAGATCTACTTCACCAAAATCGCCAATGGAACTGTATCAAAGATTTAAGCAGATTATAAAAGAATTGGAATTGAGCTACGAGGTTAGTCCGTATACCCAATATTTTACAAGGTTGGATGATGGTATTTGGCAAATAAAAGAAGATTCAGAGTTGATCAATGATCAGCTCTGGCAATCTGTTTCCGTCGCTATATTCTCAGTATATGATCCTAGAACAGGTCAATTAATAAATCAAGGTCGTGGGAAAAAAAATTCAGTAAATAATACAAGAGACCTTCAAATGGGAAATGAAACTAAACCAATGGATTTGAATGCAAATAATGGTAACTCGGGTAATATTCAAAATAATAACAATAACATGGGAAATGATAAAATTAATGATAGTAACAATGATAATATAAGCAATACATCTAACAACGGTGGGAATAGCATTAATATTGGTGGTACTAATACAAATAATGACCTAGGTAATAATAACAATAATGTTAATAATAATAGTAGTAACAGTGGTAGCAATGTCAACCATAATAACAGTAACAATAATAACAATACCACTAACAACGGCAATAACAGTAATAATAATAGTAATAATGCCAATAACGATAATAATGGAGATGGAAGTCCAAGTAATAACACAGTTAACAACACCAATAGTACTTTTACGAATAACGGATTGAACCCAACTATCAGTAGCATGTTAATGGATGCTTCATTGCCCCAACAGCTACAAAAAAGGTTACAATCTATCTCACAAGAAGTTAATTCACGTTCATTAAATGGTTATTACACACAACCAACTTCACCGGGATATTCTGGGTTCTCCTTCAATCAAACAGAGACTGATCCAAATGCACAAATTAATTACAACGATCCAGGTACAAATAATCTAAGTATATGGAAAAGAAAGTCTCTAAGTTCATTAGATGTTGATACTCTTGATGATGTAGCGGTTGAAGAATTATTGCAATTAACTAATACAAATAAAAAGCAAAGAATTAATCAGTTAGATTCTAATTCAGGAATTAACAATAACGATATGAATTCTACAAATTCAGGTGGTGTTGATGAAGTAAGTTTCCCCGATAATTCTGCTACGAATACGGTAACAAACCCTGTAAATACTCAAAATAATCTCCCTCCAGTAAAGCAAACAAAAACAAAGACAAGGACAAGAAATGCAAGAAGTAATACCACAGGTACCCGTAGAGGTAAGAATAATAAAGCTACCATAGCGGATACTAAACCTAATGAAAGTATGCTTGAAATGAGTATTATGAATGATGCAAATGCAATGATGAATTCTGAAATAATAACAAAGCAACTAAAAGGAACTTATGACGCTTTAATTCTCGAGAAAGATCAAAGAATTATTCAACTAGAGAGAGAATTGGAATTACAAAGACAAGAAACTCAGTGGCTTAGAAAAATGTTAATCGAAGATATGGGATGCATAAGAAGTTTATTGACAGATTTAAGAAGGTAAATTAAAACACTATAATAGGGGGATAAGTCGCATATCAGTTTTAAACAATTTAAGATTAATAAATTGTTATTTATGTATAATATATAAATCAATCTTGTAACAAATATATCATTATCATCATTAGTAACAATTTCAATATGTATTATTATAATTTGGTATAATATAATCATCAATCACATGATGGTTCTGATAGCAACAACAACTTTCTATTAAAAATTGGCATATTTGGCAACCTTAGGGGGGTTGTTTGCTATAGGTTGTGATTTGAACTTTGACTTCACATGTATATAAGTGTTTCTTGATCACTATTGATATATTTTAGTGGTGTTCCTCATTAGTCCTAAGAAGGCCAATTGAAAAGTGTTCCAATTATGTTTAAAGCAGTAACCTCCAAACTCGCAGCTGAAATAGACCAAGAATTGATGGGACCCAAGGTTGGGTTCACATTGCAGCAATTGATGGAACTTGCTGGATTCAGTGTGGCACAAGCAGTCACCAGAGAGTTCCCATTACAGAATAATAATGAAGATAAGCATGTCCTTATCGTTGCAGGTCCTGGTAATAACGGTGGTGATGGTTTAGTATGTGCAAGACATTTAAAACTGTTCGGTTACAATCCAGTTGTCTTCTATCCCAAGAGGAGTAAGAGAACTGAATTCTATGGTCAATTAGTGAATCAACTTGACTTCTTTGGTGTGCCAATTCTATCAGAAGAACAAGATTGGACTGTATATCTGAACAAATCCAAGACGGTATGCATTGTAGATGCGATTTTTGGATTCAGTTTTAAGCCTCCAATGAGAGAACCATTTTCGAGTATCTTGGATCAACTTTCAGAAGTTGATAAAGATATTCCAATAGTCTCTGTAGATGTCCCATCAGGATGGGATGTGGACAATGGTCCAATCACTTCACCTCATATCAACCCAACTGTCTTGGTATCTCTAACAGTCCCAAAACCATGTAGCAATCATATAGACAAGTCCAAGACAGCACATTACGTAGGTGGAAGATTCATCCCTAAAGAATTCGCCAATAAGTATGGTTTCGAACCTTTTAACTATGTATCCACAGATCAAATTTTAAAGCTTTAAAGAATACCAAACTGCTAACTAACTCTACACCGACTAAATACTATTACATATATATATAATCAATACCCTCCCCCCTTGTCTCCAACCTCAATCTTATCCTATCCTATCCTATCCTATCCTATCCTAACCTTCCCATCTCATCTCATCTCTTATATACACCATTTTTTTTCAGTATGGCTTCTTGATCGATATCTCATCGATGGGTCTGTAACACGACATTTTTCAATAAAAAATCACCAAATTGAAAAAATACACGTTTGGAAACAATGGAACTCTGCTGTTGTAAATGGGTTAAAGAAGGTTGTTTGAGTTGATCAAGGTTGATATCTTTGGATCTATTCATTGTTTTTTGTTTTGTTCTGTTTTTTTGGTGAAACTTTTGAGCTATTGACTGTTGAACTAGGGATTGAACAACAGGTTATTTGAGAGAGATGACTATAGCAAGAGATGAGACCTGTGTTGCAGTTGAAAGTGGATCTAGTATTGGGATGGTAGTTTCTGGTGGTGATTTTGGTTCGGTTGAAGAGAGTGTTATGTGTGATACTGATCCCAAGAGAGTTAAGGTTTATATTTTGGAGAATAACGAGTGGAAGGATACTGGTACTGGGTTTTGTATTGGGAAATTTGTCGAAGAGAAATTAGTTTCAGAAGATGGTAATGAGGAAACAATGACCCATAGTGCTTATATGATGGTTACTAATGAGGATGTTCCTGGTTCCTTGTTGTTAAAGTCTAAGCTTGAGGGCAATATCGAATATCAGCGTCAGGAAGAGACGTTGATTGTCTGGAAAGATCTTTCAGGATGTGATATTGCTTTGAGTTTTGAAGAGAGTATTGGTTGTGATAGCCTTTGTGAGTTTATTGTTCAGGTTCAGAAGAGTGTGGAATCTAATATTTCATTGGTCGCTGTGAAGACTAGTGTTAATGGGATGAGTTCAATTCATGAAATGATCACAGGTCCAGTACCGCTCCCATCCAATGAGGCTTATCAAGATGAAGCTATGCTTTATGAGTCATTGAGGATTTTGAATGAAAATACTGCTTTCGAATTCTTGAAAAACCAGACAATCGAATTTGTTTTACAATCTCATTATATTGAAACTTTGATTAATCACTTTCATGAGGCTGAAAGAGAAAGGCTACCGAAAAATTTGTTTCTACTGAGTAACATTTTGAAGACTTTAATTCTTTATAATCAAAGAGATATTTTGGAGCAATTAGTAGAGGATAGATATGTTGAAGGTGTTGTCGGAATATTGGAATATGATACCGAATTCCCTACTTCAAAGGCAAATCATAGAAAATATTTAGAAGCAAGTGGACCAACTTTCAAAGAGGTCATCCCTTGGGAGAATGAAGAATTGAAAATTGTAATTAAAAAATGTTTCAGATTATATTTTTTGAAAGATGTAGTACTGGTCCGTTTTCTGGATGATCATAACTTAGATTTGATTTTAGATGTCATCTTGGATTTGGAAACCTGTATTATTGATTTCCTTCAAGAGGATAGTTTTATCAGCAAATTGGTAGAATTATACACAACAGAATCTATCAAGAATAATAATACAAAAGCTGATCAGGAAAAAAGAAAAGATGGTATTAAATTATTGCATCAAAGTGTTCAAATGTCAAAAAATTTAGATGATATTGATAAATCTAACTTCTTCAGATCACTCGTTAGACGAGGTCTATTTCAAATATTTGATTATGCATTTAATGTAGAAACGGACAACAGCATTAGAATTCTGTCCACGGATACCATAATTACAATTATCGAACATGATATTTTATTAATACAATCTGTTAAATACAAAAATCAGAATTCTTCTTCTGGAATATATTTGAATGATAACAACGATAGGAATAATAATATGTCATTGTTGATTATCTTAGCCAAAATTCTTCTTACAGATAAAAGTCCTGGCCTAAGAGAGCAGGTCATTCAAGCGTTATACACACTTCTTCATCCTGAAGATTGTTTGGGAGGCGAAAACATTATGTTGACTGGTAGTTTTAATGAAGAAGGACATGGTATCAACGAAATGGCCATGGGAGGTGATTTCAATTGTAACATGGAAAATAAAGGTGATTTATTAGACCAAAGGTTCGAAGAGCGTGAAATGTACGGTGGAAAGACAGAATTTCAAGTAATTGAATATTTTGAAAGTTTCTATAGCAAAGCTGCACCGATGCTATTTAAACCATTGATTTTAAATGAATTCATGGGAAACTATTCAACTGGTGAACAAGATTTGCTTCTTATTCATTTAGTGAAACTACTCACCTTTATTAGTACAGAGCATGATCGTAGGATGTCAAGAGAATTTGTTCTAGAAAATTCCATTTTAGATTCGATAAGTCTGATGATGAAACCAACACATATGATTCAACTACGGGTTGCAGCACTAAAGTGTTTTAAAACTATCATATCGCTAGACGACACATTTTATCATAGGTATATGATTTCCAAAGAATTATATCGGCCAGTTATTGAATTGCTGATGGAGCAAATGGGCAATGACAATCTGGTGAATTCATGTTTGCAAGATTTCTTCCGAATAATATCTAAACAATGCTCAGCAGCAAAAGAGTCAGATGAAGACGAAACGCTAAGGTCGCAACCTACATATAAGAGGACTAATTTCATACTTCTCAATAAACATTTATTAGAGAAATATGGAGATACTCTACAGAAAGCACAAAATAGTATTAGATTCATTAAAGGAATGTTTGAAGTAAGAGACGATCTATTATCGGTGAGTAACGGGGATATGAGTTCAGAGATGAATAACAGTGACAATGATGTGACAATGAGTACTTCACAGGAGAACGAGTTAAGTAAACCTATGAAAAGGTTACATTCTCATATCGACGGATCACATGAGGAATACGAGAAAGCTACCGATATGATCACTATGAAACAAGCATCCACAACTCTAAGCAATACACCAAGCAATTAAACATATTTGCCTATTAAAAGTACATGATTAATTGATAGCTGTTGTTGTCCTGCTTTTCATAGAAATACATCCTCTCACCTTCCACCTTCCCATAACTTTGCATATTTTTTTTATTTATCCATAATCATACAAATATTCAGAAGAATTGATATAGTTTAAAGTCTTATATAATATTCTTTCTCAGTAAAGAAATGTACTATAATATATATATATATACCTAAGATTCCTTTAGACACCCAATATATAAACATTTTTATTTTCGTTTCTTAAACCAGTAGACTGTCTTGACTCCAGAATCTTTCCCAACCCCTCTACTCAGCCAATTTTAGCCCTGGAAAGACATAAATTACATATTCATAAACCTCTGGATTTCTTAATGACAGTTTCATCATTAAAGTTTCGATAAAATGGACAGATCGACAATAAGCTTTAGATATACCATTGTCATCTCTTCACTTCAAGCCATTTTCGTTTATTGTGCCTATTTTCTACGTGTACCGTAAGAGAGCCATTTGATAAAAATCGATTAGATCAAAAATTTGATCAAGAAGATTTAAACCATTATTTGTTCAATATTTGATGAAATAGTATCAATAAGAGAGTTGAATATTCTATTTGAAGGTTGGGGATTGATTTTGTTGAGTTTTTATTGGGGGAAATATTGTTTTTGGTTCCATTTGTTCGATATAGATAGGATTTTTTTGGTTTTTGGAATAAGATGTCTGAGTGGAAAGTAGACCCTGACAACCGTAGACGGTTATTGCAATTACAAAAAGTTGGCAGTAATAAGAGATGTGTTGATTGTGGAGCACCTAATCCTCAATGGGCATCTCCTAAGTTTGGTGTTTTCATTTGCCTGGAGTGTGCTGGTACGCATCGTAGCTTAGGTGTTCATATTTCGTTTGTTAGATCGATTACTATGGACCAATTCAAACCTGAAGAATTAATTAGGATGGAGAAAGGTGGTAATGAACCATTCAATGAATATATGACATCCCATGGTATTGATTTGAGCTTGCCTCACAAGATCAAGTATGATAATCCTATTGCGGAGGACTACAAGCAAAAGCTTACTTGTCTAGTGGAAGAAAAGGAATTTGTTGAGCCAGAACATCCAGATTTTGATCCATCAAAATTGTCAGCTACTGGTACTGATTCACTTTCAAATAGCGAACAAGTTCCTTTGGAAGGTCGTAGAGGTAACACTCCAAAACTTGCTGCCGATCAAAAGGAAAAGAATGAAGCTTATTTTAACGAGTTAGGTAAGAAGAATCAAGCTAAACCAGATCATTTGCCCCCATCTCAAGGTGGTAAATATCAAGGTTTCGGTAATACTCCTACAAGCACTAACAACGGTGCTGCTTCAAGTACTTTGAGTTTAGATAATTTCCAAAAAGATCCATTGGGCACTTTTTCAAAAGGCTGGGGTCTATTCTCAAGTGCAGTTTCTAAATCTTTTGATGAAGTTAATGAATCAGTCATCAAGCCAGGCTATGAGCATTGGCAATCAGGTGAATTATCTGATGATACCAAAAGAGCAGCAACTCAGTTCGGTCAAAAGTTTCAAGAAACAACAAATTATGGTTTTGAAGCTTTCTCTAATTTTACCAAGAGTTTACAAGAACAATATAACGGAGAACCACAAACTGGCGCTGGAGCTAACACTGGTTATACAAAGGTTAACCAAGAGAGAGGGCCATCTCCATCAATGGAAAAACCAAAAGCTGAAGATGAATGGGAACAATTCTAAAAAAAACATCATTAATTAAATTGCAAGATCATTGAGTGTAAGCCATCCTTCATCGAAAAGAACTTTGGTATTTTAATTCAACTTTATGTGTGTATAATTTCTTAGTAGGATAAAATAAATCATATAGAATTTTAAATTTGTAATCTATTATACTTTTACTTTTTTAATAATCTGTGTTAGCCAATGCAGTTGATAAGGGGGTTATTTGGTAATACTAATACTGTTGAGCTACTAATTTACAAGACATCAATGGTATACCTAATTAACATTATATGATTGAAATATTTTGATCTTCTTTATCTGCTCTGGTTGAGATAAAAGTAACGCGTAAATTAGCTTCCTCTCTCTTACGCGTCAGTTTCATCTAATATAAAGAACCATCAAGTTTAAAAGAATAGATAATATAATCATTTCACAATTTGGGAAGTTAATAAGGTGATAAAAAGTGATCAAGATTGGTAGTTCTTAGAGTTATTTGTTGATCATGACTGATTCTTTCCTGGATAAACTACCAGCAGGTTTGAAATCCAAGGTTAGTACAATTATTAGAGCCCTTCCTAGTTCCAAAAGTGTTTTCCAAGAACTATATGAGTTTGCATTAAACGAAAATGATGATTCCAAAAGAAAGATGAGTAAGAACTCACCTTCTGATATATGTGCTTCTTTAGAGCCAGTACATGAAGAGTTTACTATTTTTAAGATTGAAGATGTGACGATTCTATCACCCATACGAAAGAAGCTGAATTTGGTCTTACATATTTCCCCTACAACTAAAAAACCATTATTATCATTAACTAATAAAGATGGAGGTCAAGAACTTACTATTGAGGATTTGAATAAGAACATTTCAATGGCTACGTTTTTACCAGTACCTGAAAAGAAAAATATTTTCTATATGTTCATTAATTATAAGGAATCGGTTGGTTCAAAATACACTGAGCCTGTATTAATTACCATTAATAAGACAAATATTTTAGAGCAATTCAAAAAAGTTGGCCTGATAGATTTGGAAATACAGGATTTCACAAAATGTATTGAATATATAAGAAAACAAGCTATTCTAACAGGATTCAGAATGTCGGATCCATTTTTCTCAGTACGTCAAGATTCTGATTCAGTCCCTTCATTTCATGTTGAAGGTCATAGAGGTACAAAGGAAGGGACTTTGTATTTTCTGCCAGATCATATCATTTTTGGATTTAAGAAACCAATCTTATTGTTCCAATCTATAGATATCGAATCTATTACATACTCCTCGATTACTAGATTAACATTTAATGTTACTTTGATAACTAAAAATGATGAAAAATTTGAATTTTCTATGATAGATCAAACTGAATATTCAAAGATTGATGAATACGTTAAAATGAGACAAGTTAAAGATAGATCCATGAGTGAAGAACTTAAAGCAAAAACTGCAAATAAAAATCAACAATCACAAAATGAAGATGACGAACAGATCTCTGCTTTGGAAGCTGCTGCACAACAAATGGAGAAAAATATGAATATAAATGATATACCTGTAGATTCAGATGATGAAGAAGACGATGGTAACTTTGAAGCAGAAAGTGATCTTTCTGACGGTAGTGATGTAGAAGCTGAAGACGACTACGCTGAAGATGACGAGGATGACGAGGATGAAGAAGATGAAGAAGATAAAGAAGATGAAGAAAATGATAGATTTGAGCACAATGAAGATCAATATGAGGAAAAGGAGGCAAGTTTGTTGGATATTGAACATGGTGATAGCGTAAATTATGATGATCCAGGCCAAGATGGTTTTTCTGTCGATTTAGGGATTGACGACGTCCCAATAGAGTTGGATGAGGATGACGAGGAAGGGTCTGGTGTAGAATATGATTAAGTATTAAAACTATTTAATTAATTTATCTATAATGATTAGACTCAGTTACTGAGAAGATGTAATGTACAATATAATGACTGAACTTTAGTCTCATGTTACTACTTATTTATTTTTAGTCATCTAAAATATAATTACCCAATTTGTCCATTTTTAAGTTACCAACTCCTGTTGATAATGCTTCGATGATTCTTTCGTTTTCTTCAGTTAAACTTTCTTCAGAATCTTTGTCGCTATCACCAGACTCACCCTCATCATATTCTGAAGAGTAATATTCTGAATACTCACTATCGGAATCGTCATCATTGGAATCATCTGAAGCGTCTGAGTCTGGATTGTAATTAGCCTGTCTCATTGATTCTACCGCTTCTTCCAAATATCTATCACCTGGATGCTTTTTACTGAAACCGGATGCTTGGACCAATTCATCTAAATTGTCCGTTCTTTCGACGTCTCTGCTAAACACAGGGTATTGATATTTATAACCATCGCCAAAACCATCTAAATCAAGCATTGTTGAATCAGATTGTGGTTCATATTTTAATTTCTTTTTAAAGAAACGGCGAATACAATCTACATCTCTTTTAAAATAAAAGTCTGCATCTTTATGCTGGATGGAAATACATTGTGGAAAATCGATTACAATAAATCCACAATCATTTTCATCATCCTTTTCATCTTTAATCATGATATTAAACTCATTGAAATCACAATGAATTAAACCACTATTGGCCAAATTAACTATAAAACACATTAAATCACTGTACAATTTTGGTATATTATCATGTTTTCTTAATCTTCTTAATGGGAAACCTTTGATAAGTTCCATAACTACAATATGACGAGAATTATCAAAGGCTTTTGGTACTGTAAACCCTTTCGAATACAATAGTGACATAAATTGATATTCTTTATTGGCAGCTACACGGGATAAAAACATCCAACTAGCACCTTGATTATATTTTTTCAAATAATCCCTATTGTTTTTGACTGTATGAAAGGATGTTCTACCTAATCTGTGAATTTTCATGACTCTATGTTCACCATTTCTATCACTTGCTTGATAAATATCAGATTCTTTACCTACACCGATTGTATTACCTACAGAATAAACGGTATCTTTATTCAGTAATGACTTTAATGCCAAATAATCAAATCCATTATATGTTAAACGATAACCATCATATTTAGCATTTCTCAATCTGGATACCAATTTCAACTTAGCCAAGTCACTGATAGCTCTATTAGTACCAGAAATTGACCTCAATCCAGACAACTGATGGATTAATGTGGTTGGAACAACCTCATGATTTTTGGTACCTTGCTCGACAGCCTGTAAAACACGGAAATCGTCACCGGTAAGGTAACGCATATGATTCGTGTCTAACTTCATTTTAACACCAATATAGCTCACTCTAATGCCTAATCAATTCTCCCAGATACAAATCAAAGATCAACTTTTATCTTCCAATCAATATTTCAACCTTTCTTAAATCGATGAGATGAGATGAGCTTTGATATTGCTAATTTTTCACTTTGTTCACATCACAGCAAAAAGGAAAGACCAAAAAAAAGAGAAATTCTTTTTGGAGAGTGAAAGGAGGGTAACAAACGGTTTTCCTTTTATCCTTGGAATTAAAAGGGATCTCTGCATTGCATCTGTATGTGGTCTACATTGCAATCACCACCAATGGTGCTTTAATAACAAACATATAATGATATTAACAGCTAAACCATTTTATTTAAACTATACAGTATTCTACAAAAACAAATGGGAATATATATCTATATATATATATATATGAACTATGCAAGTATAAATCTTGGTAATATCATCAGAAACTGATCCTATCTAGACTTTAATTACCAACGGTTTGGGCCGCCTGGGCCGTTTTGGTAACCTCCATGATGATGGGAATGTTCATTACCATGATGATGTTCATGTTTATGCTTGTCCATACTATTCGAAATCTTGTTAGCAATCATGGCACCGGCAATAGCACCACCGATGCCCCCCATAGTCGAATGCTTGTGAGACATCTTTGAACCCACGGCTGCACCAGCTGTACCACCAATCATAGTACTCATCAAACCTCTTTCACCACCCTCTTGGTCATATTGGCCTTGTTGGCCATATTGTTGCTGTGGTGGTTGGTTATACTGTTGTGGTGGTGGTTGGTTATATTGCTGTTGTGGTGGCTGGTTATATTGACGACTTTGCTGATCGTAATTGTTGTTGTTGTTGTTATATGGTTGATATGTAGCTTGTTGAGACTCTTGATAAAATTCGTTGGCAGACATCCTTGTTTTGTTTTGTTTGGTTTGGTTCGGTTTGGTTTGGTTTGATTTTACTCTAAAGTATATCTCTAGATAACTCTAATGCTCTTGTCACTCCAAGAATACAAAACGAAACATAAAAAGCCAAAAAATTACAATCGAGAAAAGTGAAACTGGAAAATAAACCAAAACTTAACAACTCTTGACTTTTCAACAAATTATCAGTTGCCTTTTTATATTGCTCCATCCTGATTCACACCCCCTTACATGTGAGTTCAGCTCAGCCCATTAACGTTATGGGAGAAGTCTTCACAAAAAAAAAAGATACAAGTAGAATCAAAGGAGGTAAGATGAAATAAAACAGGGAGAAACAGGACCAGAATTGACAAGACAACTCATAATTAACATCTACAGAGGAGGCTAAACCAAAGTGTTGTTGACTATCCTTTATGGTTTCCAACGTGGCATGATAAAGCTATTGATCTTGAGTATGATTAAGCACTTTTTTGTTGCTATAAATGGTAACTAAAAATTTAGATCAAACTGGGCTTGGCGGACGGCTCGGAAGCGGTGAATGCGGGCCGAGAGAAGAAACCGCGCTGAAACGGGTATATACGAGAGGGTGTTTGAGTTTCGGAAGAGAGGGTTAAGTAATGGAATAAGAAATTAGAAGAAGCAAGATGAAGTCAGAGCAATGAGATGAGACTAGACTTCAAGATCTGGTTTACCTGTCTATAATTTATTCTCTTGATTGTTGGGAGGGTCTCATGGATTTTGGTGTCCTTAACTGAAGGGACATTCGTTATCGAATAAAGTATGACGAAGCTTAATTATAGAGAGTGAGAAAAATTCTGGAATATGTTAATGGGCCGGAGATAGTAACTGTATGAAAATAATAAAGTTTAATTTATTTGATAATCTTTTCTTATTTGATTGTTGATAATATTGATTAAAAGCAAGAGGAACAGCTTTGTTAGGTATGCCTTTCTTATCATTTCACCCCCATCATCATTCTCCCTTCTAGTTCAAAAGAAACAAAAATGGACTTAAATGTGTACATATTTATTTAAAGGATACGTAAAATTCTAAAGTCTAAATACTAAAGGAAGGAAATGAAGTATTCATTGAATAATAAACAGCCCAGTTACTGGCTACATAATTAAATCTCTTGGTTTGTATGGCTCTTCTAAATACGTCATTTCATCTTTTGTCAAATTAATTTCAAGAGCGGCAATAGCTTCATCGATTCTATCTATTTTACTCATTCCAACTATTGGGAAGCAACCTTTCTGTATTACCCAATATAAGGCTACAGTTGCCATTTTGGTATTTCTTTTTTTAGCAATTTCTTCAACTCTAGTGATTATCTCTTCATCGCTAGAGTTGATATCTTTAATGTTCCCAATACTCATAAATTGATCCTTTTCAAATCTGGTAGAGGTTTCTCCAACTGGTCTGCACAAAACACCGCGTTGTAAAGGTGACCATGGGGTTAATGCAATGTTGTGTCTTTTAGCAAATGGAATTAATTCCCTTTCATCTTCACGGTATAACAAATTGTAACATGATTGGGAATTAATGAATTTAAACCAGTCGTTTTTTTCTGCAATAAATTGCATTTCTACAAATTCTGTCGCTAACATAGATGAAGCACCTATATACCTTGTTAACCCATCAACGACAATATCATTTAATGCTCTCATTGTCTCTTCAAATGGAGTATCAGGATCAGCTCTATGGATTTGGATGATATCAGCATATGTTCCTAATCTTCTTACTGAGTCCCTTGCTGAATTAATAATATTTTTCCGAGATAAACCAGTAATGTTCACATTATTCAATATTGCTTCTGGTGTCATCGAAAATATATCATAATCAGCGTTATCATTAGTTGGAAAGTACAATTTTGTCATAATAATTACTGTTTCTCTTGGGATCTTGTAATTCTTTAAAAATTCACCCAATATTATTTCACTTTCACCATTACTGTATACATTGGCTGTATCGTATGTACGTAAACCTTTATCATACGCATATTTTAATATTTTAAATATTTTTTCCCTATCATCTTCAACCCATTCACTCCACTTCTTTGAACCAAATGACATACAACCAATAATAATTGGGGAAACTTTTAGGCCAGTATTGCCAAATTTTTTTTGTTGAAGTAAAGACATATGTGTCGTTATTATAAATAGTTTGTGTGGATGCTTTATTTGATCGGTAAGATGATATTGCTTGAATGGTCCTTTTTTTTATCCGAGAAAAATTAAAAATTAACAGATTACTTTGAACAATGAGGATTTATAGGTGCAAGAGTAAGTAAATTTGTTACCTTATATATAAAATTTTCTTGCTTTTTGTCTCGCTATTACTCTTTAATGCACTGCTTGTCCCCTTCCTTGTTCTCGAATAATGAGGTATATATTCGGCCGAGTATGCAACTATTTTATTATGCTCGGCTCGGCTCGTTGGAATAATACACCCACAATCAATCCTCAAATATATTTGACCTCAGTTCGGAAAACTTTTTAACGAAACCTAAAATGCAGATACCTTAATAATTGCGCTCAGCAGATATAGACTTTCTCCCTCTGCTCACAATAACGAATTATTTACATAAAGTTAATTAATTGAGTACCTTTTTCCTTTTGTCATGATAGTCATTAATTATTTCATGTCGTAATATCAATTGCTCAATTGAATATTTGGCATATACTGGTTATTAAACCATCATAACCATTACAGTTAAGCATGGGTAAAATAAAACTTGTGATATTGATAAAATATATATTTTTTTTTCTCTTGTCAATGACATTTGATGATTGTGTAAATATACAGATGGATGGAATTAAACTTAGGATTACCTTTGTGTTTTATGTAATGCATATATGTATGTAAATTAATTAATTTCCATAAATTGGAAGGTTTCTGAATTAAATCCGTCTTTAAAAGAAATATATTCTTAAAATACAAGCCATATTTCACAGCTCATCATACTTTTGTGGGTATGATTGCTTTGCATAAATTCAGATTATTCCTCTCTGCTTCAGTCCTTCTATTATAATTAATTTGAAGTCAAAGGCCTAGTATTCAATGAACTTATTAAAACAAGAAATGAAACAAAATTTTTATTTATTATATAAACATTGAATGAACATTCAAGAAACTTCTTTTTAAATTGAGTTTAAATGTATCCCAACTTTAATTAAATACTGTTATACAAAGGAAGATATGTGCAAGAACAGAAATTCAAAAATCATGGCTCCTTCAAAAAAAGAATTTCTTGACTTAACGGATATAATATTGTGTAATGAATAAAATCAATTTCTATAGATGTTTGAGCTAACTTTAAATATCTCATTATATGTTGTTAGTACTACTTCAATAATTTTTTGTCTTTGTCTCATTAGGAGAAAATTACATATATATGTTCATCTTTAGACAACACACTATTTTAAGGGTCTGAAAAATTGAATCTATTGGATGCGAAATGTAGCTTATAAAGATTGGAATTGTGCTATAACTGCAGAAATTAATTTACAAAATAATCTAATCTCTTATAGTTCTGAGATTCTTATATAACCTTTTTAATTTAGTGATTCATATCAACGGGTCTAAAACTAAGGCCGACTAATAAATTTAGTGTTCCATAGTTTTGTTACTACTATAAAATAGAACGGATTGATAATTCTACAAAATTACTACTAGATCCAGCTACGGGTTTGATTATATTATATAGATCAGAAAAGTATCGAGAAGCGGGAGATTAAGTTATGCCTGGTATTTTTGTAACCTCCCTACAGCACACCTGCCTACACAACATTCTAACTGGAGACTACTACTAAGAACCAAAGGTAATACACCATATTATGAGGGCGATACGGAATAGTATCGCTTCACTTCCGTCTCATATATACCACTACTTGTAATCCATTTCTATCTCGAAGTTAGGTATAATTGAATTACTCAATTAATTAATTGTCAGTTTCACATTCTATCTAAATCGATATTTTACATAGAAAAACAATAATTGCTAACACCAAATTTAATTTAGGAAATCAAAAATCAATGTTTCATGATCAGCCTCAACTTTACTATAAATCGACTTAATGTTATACAGCCTCTAGTTTTGACCAGCATTGAAATAAATACTAGATCGTATAAAAATTTTCAACTAAATATATTACACGTAGAAGGAATTGTTATATCCCGTAATAGCTAAAAAAGATTATGACACCATAGAAATGTTTAAACTAAGTTTAAAGCACTGCAAAGTTTTTAATTTGAAATACTAACTTTCTGAGTTTCGATCTATCTTGGTCTAATTCCTCTATACAATCTCGGCTAACGATGATCTTAATGTGAAGTAGGCATGGTCAGGCAGCAAAGTCAAAACCCTGCCCTCAGAATAAAGTGGCCAAATAAGGAAATTGTCCTTGGCCTGGTTGGAAGTCGTTAATATCAGATGATTATCACATGATTTTCAAACCCTGCTTTTGCTTTTATACTACCAAGAGCCCTACACTGACACACCTCTCTATCGTCCAGGTAATGTGTTGTATTGGTTCGACATAGTTTCATACGAATTTGTTGTAAGATCTATGACACCAGATAATACGTGTTATTATCTTTGACACTTATAAAGAATAAGAGTAACTGCTATTTGAAACAATTGTATACTATTGTATATTACTTACTTACTTTGTACATTAGAAGAAGAATATATAGTACTCTTTAATAATAAATATACTTATTAACAGTACTAGTCTCCACAAGATAGACGAATAGAATAAAAGCAATACCAAGCACTTATTCAACGTACAATTACTAGATATCTATAACAAAAGAATTCACAACAAAGAATACAGTGTTTTACTGCAGGTGATTGTATTGCCGGCGGTTGTCAGCATTCCTTTGGCGTTTAGTCCTGATTTTTTATGTGTAGTCTATTGCAAGAAATGTAATCGAAGCTAGTTTTGGCAACTATTATCCGAATAATATCATTCTTGGTATTGAATTTGTGATACAATTACTTCACAATAACTTTCCCTTTAGGTATAACTTTACCTCAACTAAAAACAAGACCATCTAACTTATTATATCTATATGTTTTGAGAGTCATTTGTTTTGCTATGTCTGTATTGTCTCTTTCATTTAGGGCTGTTAATAACTATATAGTTATTTTCCACTGAAGATTTAACTGTTTATTTAAAAATAATATTGTGTAATATGAAATTAAACAGTGAAGATGAATTCATTACATTGTCAATATAACTAACAAAAGGCCACTTCAATCCTAAATCTAAATACAATTGAGTGTTTAGAGTGAGTCCTATGAAACAAGAGGAATCAGAGGAAGAGAACTAATTCGAATACTAAGATCTCCTAAGAAAACATGAGGTACTTTTCAAAGTATATCTATTTGTACAAATGTTTATGTACTAACCTAGGACATAGAATTGATTTAAAAGAAACAAAAAGCTTTTTAGATCTAACTTCTGAATAATTTACTGACAAAACAGCATCAAAGATACCTTACTCTGATGGTCTGGTAGTTTTGTTTACGTTTACGACAAGTTACGGGAAACGTGTCAGCCCAAGTTCTGGACATTTTTACCAAAAGTCTAAAATATTCTGTAGAAAATGTACGTTGTTCTATGAAACTTTAGTGAATGTCTAATATTCTCTCATAATCTTTCATCATTTTTATGATGTAAAGCTGAAAATTATCCATATTGGGAAACCACTAACTCTCCTACATGAGAAAAGTGTAGAATCACTTATATTTTTGTTGAATTGAAAATTTTGTAGAGACATTACTATTGAATCATTTTAATATTTATTTTATGACTTTTATGGCCTTCCGTTTGTACATCCAATGGTTTGGGTCTTATATAATGAGGTTGCTTTGTTTTATTTGACCCAATGGCAATATGATATTTAACATCAGCAATGGTTTCATATTTTAAACCCCAACTTCTAATTTCGAGCTCGTTAAATAAGTTGATCTTAATGACCACTACAATTATAACCTTGAAGACCATCTAAAAAATAAAATTTTATAATTAATGAAATTGTCATCGGCAGGTTCATTAGTGGAAACCCTGCTAAACGAAATTCTAAATTGATAATTGCTGTTGAAGGTAATGATCATAGTTGAGGGATAATATCGTATGATTTAAGACTAATGAGGTAAAATCAGTTTTAAATGGGGGTGTGGCTGTATCTAATAATACTAGACAATTAACGAAGCTTTCTTTATTCCAAAATAAACTAATGAAACATAAACTAAAACTTTAACAACTGTTTGTATCTCGAAAACATTATTGATTTTATTACCGCAAGTTTTTTCAGTTTAATAATCATATATAAAGGTGAAAAAAAATCTATTTTTATGGATTGAACTACTTTCATAACTTTATTATTTCAATGTTGATATTCCCATAATCCGAATCATCAATAATATATTATTTCATAAGAATAAGGAACATAACTCGAATCTTCTACATCGACAAAATATCAAACCAAAAAACATGAAGTTCAATTTTCAATTAAGTTTAACTAATATTTTGTCTTTTATAACCATTTTACTTATTAGCGACGCTTCTGTTTCTGGTGAAACAGTGTCAGAACACAGTTCTGGATCTAACACTGTCACCTTATCTCCCGCTGGTGCTGTAACCGTAAACACTCAAAGTACTAGTACTAGCTACTGGACTGGGTCATCTGACATCACCTATTCAACTGTTATTGTCGAAAAGAAATGTGTCGAATACGAAATTACCTCTAGTACTGTTTACTTTGTTCAAACGCCAATTAGGAATACAAGTACTACTTTTACCACATGGTCCGATTATATGGAAGGCACTATTACGTCAACTTATGGAACCACCACTTTTACTGGAATAGACGGTTTGGAAACAACACAAACAATTTATATAGTTATTACTCCAATATCTGAAACCACCACCACTATATATACTGATTTCCCAGATGGATTAGCTTTTGTTGTATCCCCAACTTCATCAAGGACATCAGTCACTGTTACACCTACTAAAGGAGCAGCTTATGTTCAACACATTGAGTACGCTAATAAACCACAAAAGAACTAAAAGTGAAGTTACAAGGAATAGCCATACCAATTAATCTGATCCAATCGATTAAACTTCAATATTAACGGCAGTTATATTTATGTATTTACTTATTACTTTATTTATTTATTTTGTGTACCTTCTAATCTTACAATATTTATTTTTAGTTGATATCAGATAATGTCTTCTCTTTAACTTAGGTTAAATTAATATACTGTATTAATTTATTTGATTGCTATCTTATTCTCAGTTTTACAGATCTTGATATCAGAGTATAAAACGATTTAACAACAACGAAATATAAATTATATTATTACATAAATTTAATGGTTTTTGATTTATATGATGGATATACTAATTATTAATTTCCACCTTACTCTAGATATAAACACCGCAATGAAATGTGTTTGTCATTTCAGGATATATTGGAAATATGATTATGATGAACTTAATAGTTTATTATCATTGTCATGTGTTTTATCCAGTTTAATTAAAATATTGGAGTGTTTTGTATATACTTTATATTTTACACTAACATAAATATATGAATATTTATATGTTTGTTGCTATTAATTGGTTCCTGCTATCATTTTACAAAATACAGTGATTCCATAGTGTTATTTATTCGTATCTCTAATACAATCAATTATCAGACTTCGGTATTCTTAGAAAGTTTGTTTAATAATATAATCACGACAAAGATGGTTCCATCTCTTTAATGACGTTTTTTAAAGATTTTTATCTAAATTTTTTATTTATATTTTGTTTTAAATAATTAATAATTGCGATTTGGGAATATTTGGGAAAAATGAAACTGATAGCCATATAAAGAAAACAAATAATAGAACTAAAGGTAAATTTTATCAATCTTCAGTACAACAGATAATAATCGAAATATAATTTTAAACTCTCCAAACTGTATAGATCTGATGTAATAAAAGATAAAGGAAAGGATCCTCAGTTAGCGCAAATGACAAGTATACCATTCGAGTAATATCTCCTTTGAAAAGAGAAATTACGACATGGTAAGATTTTGGTATTCGAGAGGTTTCTGTGAAATGTTCTTATAAAACAGTTCTTTGAAAAAGGTTAAAGACAAGTATCGTATTATCTAATATTATTATACATAATTGCAGTTTTAGGATAACATTCATTATTTCTCCTTTTATTAGTTCAGGATTAAAAGCAAACAAAAATCTATATTTTTGATTGAAGCACTAATCCTTCTTCAGATATATCCGTGAGGATAGTGACTTGTTTAGTTTATTATACTTATTTAGAAATTTTGGGTTTATTAAAGTTAATGCAGTTGGTGCAAGGGGTAGTCAAGTAGGCATATCATTATCTTAAAATATGTAAACCAAAGTTTCATGTTTATGCAAGATTACAAATATAATAAACTATTTCAAGGAGACAGAATTCCTCCAAATTAAGAACAATTCTTGCAATTCTTAATAAATTTAAGTTCCTTACATTTATTAAATTAATTAAAAAATATTCATTACTATCATACTTGTCTTAATGAAATTAAGGTTTCAGGTATTCCTTATTACATATTTTAATTAAAGAAATTTTATGGAATATACTGCATAATTTTACATTGAACATTCTTTCGACACAACGATATTAATGTATATTAATAGGCTATCTAAAAATAATATCACAGTAATCAATTCCAGAAAAAGGCAGCATGAATAAGAAAAAAACAAATACTACTGGACTTTATATAATCTAAATTTAATCTTGTTTCATTGAACCCTAACGAATTGATTATGGATTTAATTCAAATTCATTTTTCAACTCTTTTTCGATTAACTCCTTTAAATTTTTCTTTTCTTATTGGAATATAATCCATTCTAAGTTTATTAGAAACTCAATTTAATGAACTATGAATATCCCTAATTTGAATGCAGAAGAAAATTTTCAAGGCATAGCGCTTGCTTTCTCTTTCATGAAATTAATCCTTCTCCAGCGTTATTACCCCCCCCCCCCCCCAGAACCCACGCCAGAGTGTACATAAATTCAGATTTACTTCTTTAACGTCATCACCTCGAAATTTGTAAAAGCTACTATTTTGCTTGGTGATCTTCTCAACAAAAATGAAATAATGGCAGACATGTATCAATGCTCGAAGGAAAGAATAAAAGCAAAGTGGGTAGCAATTTTTTTATTACTTGTGTGTTAGCTACTGCATGAAAGATCTTTCTCCCCTCTGCAAACTATTCCTCTAATTGAGCATAATAACAACACTCGTAATAGAATCTTTCGGAACTTGTTCCTTAGGTTTGCATGGTTCTCAAACTTTTCTATAGGTCCCTTAACGTAACCTCGAAGCATACCTACTTCAGATAGCTGGGAGTAGCCCTGGTTAGCGTCTCGCAATAATAGTATCAGTCAAGTTTGTCAAGCTAATAATTATCATTTCTTTTTCTTTTTCTCATGTTATTGATTTTGACAGAAAAAAAAGAAAACGTATCTCAAATTCCCAATTTTTTTTAGTACTATTTTGCTGTACTATAACCAAATATGATATCGATTTGATTCTAACCTAATTTAATAGCATTGAAGAATTGAACAAGCTACTGATTTTTTTTCTTTTTTTCTCTCTAACCAATTGGCTTAATTTCTAAATTAGGTAGTCAAAAAAAAAAATTAATAGCTATTTTAGAATAAAATGAAAAGAAAAAAACATTGTCACCTTTTTTGGAAAGCACTTCACAAAATGGAAGTATGCATCCACTTTAATTCTTGCTCTACTTGACAGATTCTTCGATAACCTTTCAAATGCTACTAAATAGGAAAAATTTATTTTCTCCCATTTGAAGAAAATTTGAAATTCCTAAGAAATTCCGCTGACTTTCACATTTCCCGAAACGAATAAAAAATTGACGTCAGGAAAATAAAGGAATTTGTTTATATCAGTAAGGAATACAGGAGGAAGAGGAGACGTTTCTATAAGAACAATGATCTTAGTACGAACAGATTTAGTTACTCTGTTCAAACATACAAAATGTTTTTTAACTGAATTGGAATTTAAGTTTTATTTAAAAAATGCTACACAAACAGTATTTGTTTATTTCTGTAAGTTGTTGGTTGTATTTCAATAGGATTAAAAATATTCCTATTTCCTTTTTAGTATCTTTGAATAATTGAGAGAGACAGATCTTATCCAACAGTTTTGCATCCAAGAACAATGAGTAGTATTCAAACATATAATGATAAAAACCTTCATAAATATCTATTTTTGAAGTTAAATAAACCTTCTCTAGTAATGCGTAAATTGCTAGGCAAAGTGCTATATAATATTTCCTAATGCAACGTCATTTCAACGTATTCAAGTAATAAGTGAAAAACAAACAAACCCAATATAATTATTCTCATCTCATCTTTTCTGCATTTGTGGACTAACTCTTAGAGTAGAAATTTATTAAGACATTATCGTACTGATCTAAGATCAATTCCTTCCTGGTATCTTCATTACCAATATTCCTGAGGGTCAAGTCCTTTCCTTAATAACTCTAATAGATAATAGCGACAATTAAATGCGATAAATAACTGTTGTTATCCAGGGAAAATATGGAAGGTGTCTCATAATTTATAGCAAACTCTTAAGGTAATGAATGATACTGTAAATATTAAAGAAATCCCTAAACAAAATAATATTCTCTGACAATTCTTCGAATAAAGTTACTGCATTTTTCTTCTCAATCTTATAAAGCATTCAAGAAATAAGTATTAATTGGAAACAATATTTGAACAACAGTTACAAAAAAAAAAAGTAAGCCCCAAATAGAACAATTTATTTAGCAACAATTTCTTTCCAAGCATGAAGTACATCTTTTTCGACAAGAAAACAATTCATATATAACTCTCTTAAATTTTCAATAAATCAGAACATATCTTGAAACATAATTAATTCTTTTTATCCAATTAATATTTCTAATCAATAACTACTGAAAGGAGCAAAATAAGAAATTGTCACACTTCTCAGGATTATTTTTGTACTCCTAGAAATAAATCAATTGAATAAGATAGATCTTTCATTTTAACCACATTTTATATGACAGGATTTAAAATCAGGTCTGTTTATTTGTTAGCAGTACTTCTCTTCAGTACTATTTCGACCGCCTTGTGGGATGGAGACTGTAGATTAGATTGGAGCAGAGGTGTATTGCGATGCATTAAAGAAATACCTTGTGCAGAAAGATTCACTTATGTTAGGGAAGAAAGTTGGGGCTGGTGGACACATCCTAGGTATGGTAGGGAATACAGATGTAACTATATTACTGTCTGTAAACCAGAATTTGTCGAAGTAGATATCCCTGTAAACAACTATGTTCCATATCCTCGTCCATGCCGCCCTCCTCCAATATCAAATCACTGCCGCCCACCTCCTCCACCTCCTCACCCAACTTTCACACATGATTGGTGGCATTTTCCTTGTTCTCACCCTCACCCAAATCCATGTCCTCATCCACATCCACACCCATGTCCAAACCCCCATCCACATCCTCACCCATGTCCACATCCGCCAAAACCAACATGTACAAAACCTACTTTCACCAGGCCAACATGTACGAAGCCTACTTTCACTAAACCTACTTATACTAAACCTACATGTACAAAACCAACATTTACAAAACCAACATGGACTATTCCAAGTTTAACTAAATCTTCAATAACAATTACTAGTGAATCCTTTACTTATTCTTCAACCAACACTCATACCTTCTCTTTGGATATATCTTCATCCAAAATTTACCCAAGCTCTGAAGCTTACTCAAGTAGTGAATTAATTACAAGTAGCTCTGAAGCTTACTCAAGTAGTGCATTAATTACAAGTAGCTCTGAAGCTTACTCAAACAGTGAATTAATTACAAGTAGCTCTGAAGCTTACTCAAACAGTGAATTAATTACAAGTAGCTCTGAAGCTTACTCAAGTAGTGAATTAATTACAAGTAGCTCTGAAGCTTACTCAAACAGTGAATTAATTACAAGTAGCTCTGAATCATTTTCATCTATCGAAACGACTAGTAAGGATACCACTAGTTATGGAGAAACTTCTTCACGTTCATTTATATTATCTACTCCAGAACCTATTCATAGAACTTCTACAACCACTACTTATTGGACGGGATCTTATGAAACAACATTCTCTACAATAACTAAAACATCAACTGGTACCGATAATTTTGTAACTACGGAAACAATTTATATCGTTGAAACTCCGATAAGAGCTCTTCTATCAACCACATCAAATTACTGGTTCTCTTCTCATTTCACTACAACCACTCTTTACACTACAACTTTTACAGGTTCAGACAATTTTGAAACTACAGAAACTGTTTATGAAGTTTTCATTCCTATATATGAAAGCACAACTACAATTTATACAGACTTCCCGGATCCTATATTGTTGATACAACAAACCAATTATCCAGTCTATTATACAACAAGTACTATGATTGAAATCGAAAATGAACTTGATTGTATATTAGAGATGATCTATGTCTACTTAGGATCGGAACTAGGTTCATTTAACGGAACTATCAATTTCGACGAAGTCCTAGAAGTTGGCAAAAATTAGAAAATTAAACTTTGTACAGTTTACTAATTTTTTATTACTTTTAAAGATAATACCCAATTAATTATATTTTTTCACCTTTATCAGGTTTAGCAAATTCACTATTTTTAAGTTCGTTAATTATATAGCCAGTCTATAGAAAATTCAAGATTTAATTTAAAACAACGATTTTTCAATTATTTATGAATGCCAACTTCTAATTAAAATTGGTTGTGGACTTATATCGTTGCGAGCATTTAAGTACGAAGTATGAAATTTAAAGTAATCAGAATTCAGAATTTAAGTATTTCAAACTGATAATTTTGTTTGCTTAAGAAAACAGATGTAAATTTATAGGCTAATATATATCTTATCAGCAACCTCAATAGTTTCTCTTCTGGCAATCCAGAATTAAATCAAAATACTACGAAGTTGGTTCACGTCATTTTGAAATGACCAAGCAGATTGTTGTTAAATCTAGTTTATTATTGTTTCAAATTAAAATTGTTCAATTTTGTTAGTTATATCAAATGTGGTTTATTAGCTTTTCTATTACACATTTAAGAGATTAATAGGGAGAACGTAAATTCCAAGAATCTTTATTAAAATATGTTTCAGTGGGATTTTGTAGATCCTTCAAACCTATAAAAATTAATGTTCGTTTAACAAACGAATAAAATAACAGATATGTGGCAATCAATTTTTAAAATCAATAACAGTCACCTAAAAGGATTATTGATTAGAGCTTTTCGTTAATCTAACTTTTTAAGACCTTTGACAGAATTTGGCTTTAAAAGTAAAGACGACTTTTTTTACAAGAAAAATGAAACCTATATATTAATATATTTTAGAAATATTCAATTGCTTATTTGCATCAAATATTTTTTTGAAACAATCAAATACAAGTTTACTGAAAAAATCCCCGAGGTCAATTACCTTGAATGAACTGAAGAATCATCTTTATAGTTGAATGCTAAATTAAAACAATAAAAAAACGATTTACTTAATTACTGAATCTCTGAAATGAAAAATTATATCAAATTTCGTTTAAACTAAAGGAATATACTTTTTTAAACTTCCATTTATCAATGCAGAGATAAAATGTATATTGCCAGCATGTTTTAATGTATGCATAAAAACCCAAACAATATAGGACCTTCAAAGGAAAGTAACAAAAATTATTGATGCTTCGTGGTTGCATCAGGTTTTTAGAAAGTGCATATTTCAAATAGGATTAAATGGGCTAAAGATATGGATCTGTTATGCTGTCCCCTACTTTTGGGACACAGTTGCGGATTTACAAGCAATCAAGATAAATAGAGACAATCCTTTTTATTACTTATCAAATTGACTACTTTTCAAGAACCAAACAAGGTGACCATTTGATAATGTCAGATGTTTGTACCCATTTATACCTGTAAAAAGTACATTCTTAATAGAAATTATTGGTCGTTTCCCGTCCAACCACTACCACATCACAAAATCGATATTCCTTTTAGAACTTTATGATGTGTATTGTTTCCCTATTCAATCACATATTTGAAATAAATATTTTCAGTTGAATTTTAATCCTCTAACGAATCTATTGAGGAATCAGAAAAACTCAAGCCTTACTGTTTTTAGCTTCAAATAATGGATATAAAAAATGGGTTTCAATTAGTGGGATAATAATAGCAAAAAGTTAGATCATAACCAATAGCATTGTAAGATGAGGGAATAAGAAAGCTCAGTAACAAAAGCCATATTTTATTGATTGTTTGACATGCCTCAAATCAGAACCGTAGAAGGACAGTTGGCATCTGAACCGAAATAACTTAAATGTCGATGCATTTTATGAAAGGATAAAAATCCTATTTGGTAAATTAACAGCTATATTGAATTGAATAATAAAGATAGTGATTAGAAGCATTTGTTAGACTTGGTACTAAAAGTGAATAGACGATTTTTGGATTATCGACATCTAGATTTACAATTTTTGATTTCTCATCAAACTTATTTGGGGTTTATGGATTACATTTAAAATATGATTTATCGTGAAGGACCCCAAAACATATATGATTTTTTAACTATTTATCAGTTGTAAAAAAAGCAACAACAAGAAACAACTACACTAATAGAGTTGATATTTTCGAAGAAAAATAATGGAACCTCATCAAGATTAGTATTGATAATACATTACTTCTAAACAGGTCTTAAATAACAAATACTGTGCAATGATGAAATTAATAATTTCATCATCTGTCTAATACGGAAAAACTATAAATCCTAGACTAGTTTTTCCTTACGTCAATAATATTTTTAGAGTTCATTGTTCTCCTATATGCATAATATCTGCAAAAAGAGTTGTATTAAGGCAATATTACAAATTCACTACTTCTTTCTAGTTGTTTACCTGATGTCGACCCCAAAATAATAACAAATGAATTTAGACCAGATGTGACATCAGTATTCTAACCACCAGAATAGTTACAACTATATAGTGCGTTTTTTTCCTTTAAAATTAAAACCAGCTCCTTCGTCAGTTGTTTCTGACTTTCTCCTCTACCAACTAGGAGTGCAATACAAGGTTCTTATAAATTTCTATCAACCCCTCTCTCTTGTATATACTTTCTTGAACTGAAGCACCTTTCGAACTCGAACCAAACACAGCCTTTCGTTCATCAGTTTCTCTGTCTCTGACGCCTTCGAAAATATCTTCAATATATCTTTTGTACTATCTCAATTTTGCTTCTAGCATAATAAATATGAAATTTTAACGCAAGCCCCCTGTAAAATCTCCGCAGCCCATTCCGAACGGTTATTTCAATATGCTGGCTATACTTAGTCTTTCGAAATCCTTGCAGAGTAATAATATTCTAAGAATTTGTACCCTATTCCCACTTATATATTCTGATGATAGAATGAAAATCAGGTTTTGCATAGATAACTTGATAGCAGTCTATTTCCTCTTAACAAAATTGAGGGAGCATTGAAATTTCTTTTTTCTTCAAGAAGCCACAAAAATTAAGAAGAAAAACGAAATTACCCAAAGAGGATGAAGCTATTACATCTTCATGAAAAAAGAAAATGTTTCAAATATGGTAAGAGACAATACATATAAATTTATATTCTAAAGGGATATGGGATAGTCCCGCGTATAGACGCTGGTTTATGCCATATTTGTCATTTCGCTGTAATTTTTAATTTCCTCTTACAGAAAAGTCCAGGGTATGTAGTTTTCTGTCTTGGAGATTTTGAGAATATATTATTTGCAGAGTATTAGCATTTGAGGTTTTCCGTTTTTGTGTTTGGCCTTAAACTAGGTGTAGAAAAGACTTTCTCTTTAAAAAGCATTTGGTAAGTGGGCCGTAAAACGCGGGTGGTAAAAAGTATTTTTTTTTCGAGAGACTTTTTGAAATGAAGAGGAATTTTGATGTCATTTTTTTTTGGCTTAATAAGGGGGAATAAAAGAAGGGAAAACCAGGTATTTTGTACTTTGACGTATACAATTTGTGCTTTTTAATGTTTAGCTAATTTCTTTTTTGCTATAGTTCAATCTTTTTGGCAATTCCCTTAGAGTTGTTAGAAATAACACGTTGAATTTTTTATCTGAGGCTCAGAAATGTTGCCATTTCTTTTTGCTGAACCAAACTATTTTTTAAGATTTTCCAGTGGCGGATAAAGAACTTCATTTCTTTTCCTGAAAATTCTCCATCTCAAAAGTCCAGTTTTATTTTCAAACGGGTACATCAAAGTTCCTGGACTGATATATTGATGAAATCCTATCTAATGAGATGGATCTCAGGATTAATTTAATCGATAATTATTAAAACTTCTGTAAGCATCTGAAAAGATGGATAAACTCTTTTACCTGTCACCTTTGGGGTTCCGTCTACTTTACTTAAATGGGTTTATTGGTAGCAATTTCCAAAGTTTTTCTATCTTGGCTCGGCTTAAAAAAACTAAAGGAAAATTACTTCCCTTCCCAATTGGATCTAACATTTTCAATGGAAGATTAGGGATATGGGTTTACCTTCAGGTGGTTTTCGAATCCCCATATTTTTTATTAGACGGGGGTTTAAAAAAATTTTCCTTACCTTGGTTCCATTGCTATAACGGGCGGAAGGCTTCTCAAAATTCGAATTTTAGAAGCGGTTTTAAATTCTTATAG